GAATTTCATGATTGCTTTATCTATTTCTACAAGAAATGCCGTTGGGATTTTGATTGGCATTGCATTAAACCTATAGAGAACTTTTGGTAATATCGCCATTTTGATAATGTTAGTTCTGCCTATCCATGAACAGGGTATATTTTTCCAGGGAGATGATCTTTAAAGAGTGAGTTGTTTGAAGCAGCTCAGGAGGCTGAGGCAGGAGGATTGCGAGTTCAAAGCCAACCTCAGCAAAAGCGAGGCTCTAAGCAACTCAGTGAGTCCCTGTCTCTAAATAAAATACAAAACAGGACTGGGGATGTGGCTCAGTGGTTGAGTACCCTTGAGTTCAATTCCTGTTACCCTCCCCCGCCACCTCCCAAGAAAAAGAGTAGGTAATTTGAAACTGAGATTCCTGTGTTTGGAGATATTTAGGTTATTTTTCACTATTCATTATCAAAAATAATACTCATACATCTTTGTATATAAAGGTTTTTTGACTCCTTATTTTTTTTCTATAGCTAGTTGTCAAAATTAATATTATTGAATTATGGGATACTAGTAGTTTTAAGACTTTTTATGTGTACTAAGTAAATTTCCTAAGGAATGTTCATAGGGTGTGTTGTTTTCAGCATTGAGTTAACATTTCACTACTACTTTTTTTTTTTTAACATCTTTATTTTATTTTATGTGGTGCTGAGGATCAAACCCAGTGCCCCGTGCATGCCAGGCGAGTGCGTTACGGCTTGAGCCACATCTCCAGCCCGCAATACTACTTTAGTAATATTAATTCTTATTCTTACTCTTAGTCTCATTTTTTTTTCTAGTTTGCTAAGTCAAAAAAGCTTTTTGCTTCAAGTACAAGATATGTATTTTTATATAGGCACATCTAGTGATCTTTCTTTTAATAGTTTTCATTTTAAGTCTTACAAAACACTCTATTCTAGAAAGTGTGGCAAAGATTAATAATAACTCAATCAAGTAGATTTACTTACTAGCTTACTGTATATCTGCAATAAATGGTTCAAAAATACGTTGGAAATAGAAGTCCCATTTAAAATAGAAATAGATAGCATATCTAGGTATAACCTAAATGAAAAATATGATACACCCTACGAAACTTTAAAAACTTTACACATAGACTTTTTTAAAAAACTTTTTTAGCTGCAGATGGACTCAATATCTTTATTAATTCATTTATTTTTTACTTGGTGCTGAGGATCGAACCCACTGCTTCACATGTGTGAGGCAAGCGCTCTCCCACTGACCCCCAGCCCCAGGCCTATACATAGACTTTTTAAAAAGATAAATAGAGAGACAAAAATAATTTTATTTAAAGATGTGATTTTTTTCTCAACAAAATGCATATTTAACAAATCTAGTTGAATTTAATTCCTTGTAAAGTTTCAAAGCAATAAAAAGAGACATCCAAAGAAAAACTGTTAAAAAAGAGATGAAAGAACTAAAATAATACTCATGCCTCATGGAGTATATGTCACACAAAAGGGGATGCAATGATTTATTTAAAAGTGGTTTTAGAAGTTGGGGATTATAGCTCAGTGAAAAGTGCTCACATAGTATGCATGAGGCCCTGGGTTCAAACTTTAGCACTACAATCAGTCAGTCAAAACATTAAATAAGAGAAAGTGATTTTAAAACTTTTGGTTAGGTTTAAATTAGATTTTAATTTATAATAAAATAGATTTCAGAAGATTTAAAGGAGGTAGGAGAAGGAAATTCCCATGAATATTTTAATCTTTAAATTTTATTTTAGGGGCTGGGGCTATAGCTCAGTGACAGAGTGCTTGCCTAGCATGTTTGAGGCACTGGTTAGATCCTCAGCACCACATAAAAAATAAATTAATAAACAAAGATAGCATGTGTCCCTCTACAACTAAAAAAAATTTTAAAAATTTATTTTAGTATCACTTCTGTCATAAATAACTATTTACTCACTTGTCTAATTGAAACTTAAAGTTAAGTCTTTCAGGAGAAACAAAATGTTTCCTTTTGTTGAACCCTTTGGGAACCTTTTGTTGAACCTTATGAGAATCTTGTTTGGTTTCAAATGGCTTTTTAAACATCCAGGCATGGTGGTGCACAACTGTATTCCCAGAGACTTGCCTGTTGTGTCAGAGAGTTGGGAGATTAAAGCAGGAAGATCACAAATTTGAGGCCAGCCTCTGTAACTTAGTGAGATCCTGTTTCAAAAAAATAAAAGAGTTGGGGGTGTGGCTTGGATGATAGAGAGCCTCTGGGTTTAATCCTTAGTATCAAAAACAAAACAGAAACCCCAGTATTAATAATAATAATTGGCTCATTTATGTAATCTACTATGCTACACATGGAAGGAACAACCAGGACATCTGGGACAATTTTTACTTCTCTAGCTGTTATTTTGTATTCTGAGGTCATACATTATGTCCATTTCAAATTATGTAGATATGTTTTAGTATATAGAACAAGAAAATACAATTTGTAAAGTATCTTTGTAATATTCCAATTTGTGATCTATTTAAGATATAAAAATTTAAGTCTCTTATTTCCTGAAATAAGACTCCATTTGTTATACAAATTTAAGTCTTTACTGGCAAAATGGAATATTCAGTTGTTGAAATGATTTTCCAAGGAAGAAGTTTTAGAAAAAATTAGAGTTGAGAAATAGGATTGAGCTTTGGAACAAATTGATATAGAAAGTAAGTGGGGTTTGAAAATTCAGGGATGGCAAAATGAAAGGATAACATAAAGAGAATTGAAAATTGAAGGAATAATTTTTATAGGGAACTTATATAAGAAATTATATTGGTAGAATATACAAAAAGATGATTTTTTAAAATGTAGGGTGATTTGTATTTAATACCTGAAATTAATTTTGACAAGTTTTAGGTGATCAAGCATTGAACAATTAAATAAAGTTTTTTTTTCTTTTTTTCTTCCCTTCTTTTTTTTTTTTTCCCCTTTGGTACAGGGGATTGAACCCAGGGCCTTGTGCATGCGAGGCAAGCACTCTACCAACTGAGCTAAAATCCCCAGCCCAAGTTTTTGTTTTTTTAAATCTGGTTTTTCTTAAACGTAGAAACAGTACTTGTAATTGGAGCTTCTAATTTTTTTAAGTAGATGATAACTCATGATAAATTGTTTTATAATTTCAAATGTAAGGAATTTTGCAACTTGTATCTATAATATAAATGAAGACTTGTCTAATCTAAAGTGATAGTTTGCTATTCTATAAATATGCATATTTGAAGTTTTTTATTAATACAATTGACATTTGAATACTAATTATGTGAATAGGCTTTGTAGGAGATAGGCAGGTTACAAATTTTTCCATCTAATGGGTAATTTAAAACATTTATCTTTGTCCTTTTAAATATAGAAAAGAGAAGGATTATTTATATACTTTAGTGTATAGCTGGAATGAAAAATACAATTATTCCTTTGTCATAGATTTCTTAGTGGGAGCCTTTAATGGTCTGACATCTGATAATGTAACCATTTCTTATACTCTTTTTATTTATAAAAGATGGCATGTTTTCAGGACTTGTTTAGGAATTTTATTTACTCTCCAGAATGGTTGCAAGCAAAATTTTGTTTTTTTTCTTTTTTGGCAGAGGTTACGCACAGAAAATAGACTTTTAAAACAGCGCATTGAAACGTTAGAAAAAGTGAGTAACTATTATGAATTTCTGTTGAATGCTTTTAGGATTTTTCCATATATTTAAGAAATTCTCAAAAAATTTGGCACATGTGTCTCTTAAGTTGTGTTATTGACTGTTAACTTGCCTAGCTTACTGTTTAGCCACGTAGCTAGTTATTAATAAAAATTGATGGGTACAAGTTCCTGACCTTTCATATTAAGGTTTTAACGTGGGTAATTATTGGATTAATATTGATGTCATTTGTTTTCTTTCTGTGTAACCTCTAAAAAATACCTTCTTCTAGAATCTAATTGGGAATTCATTCTTATAACAACTTTTTAAAGATGATTCAAATGTTGTCCTGGCTTCCTCATAGACTGTCAAGTGAGGCAATAATTCATTTAAGGTCTAGGATTATTTTACATTTACATTACTTTTACATTTAGTCAAAATGATTAAAATTCTTATCCCTTTGTATTCTTTATATAAAAATTCACTCTGATATTGATTTTCAGTAAAAGAGAGTTGTGTGTAAACTTTAGTTAAAATTATTTTGATATCTACTCATTGCCTCTTCTCTGTTTCATAATAATTGGCAGATGTGGAAATTTTGCATAATTTTTGTATTGTGCTTTTGATGAATCTTTTGTAGTTGTGTTTCTGATACTGTAAGAATTAATGGAGTCATCAAAGCATAGTGTAGGAATTTTGCTTTATTAAAAGAAAAACACTATTTGAATTCACAGAATTTTTTGTTGCTCCCTTTAAAAAACTAGAGGCAAGAGTAACTAGGTTTAAAAATGTTCCTTATTATATTGTCAAGTATCTTTAAAGTCTTCCTGAAAGTTTATAGATAAATATCTAAGAAATAAAAAACTAGGAAAGGGATAATTTGCAGTGTTTGTCTTTCTTTCTTTCTTTCTTGTTTTTAAAGTTTTTTTTTTTTTTTGGTTGTAGATGGACACAAGACATTTATCTATGTATCTATCTATCTATTTATCTATCTATCTATCTATCTATTTAGTGGTGCTGAGGATTGAACCCCGTGCCTCACACGTGCTAAGCAAGCGCTCTACCACTGAGTGACAACCCCAGTCGTTATATATATAGTAGTTGGACACAATACCTTTATTTTTTAAAATTTATTTTTATGTGGTGCTGAGGATCGAACCCAGTGCCTTGCACATGCTAGGCGAGTGCTCTACCGCTGAGCCCAGCCCCAGCCCCCTTTCGTTTTTTTTCTTTAATTCTTTTTTTAAAAAACCTTTATTTTATTTATTTATTTTGATGTGATGCTGAGGATGGAACACAGGGCCTCGCACTTGCTAGGTGAGTGCTCTACCACTGAGCTACAACCCCAGCCCCTGTCTTTCATTTTTAAAGAAAAGATGATTTCATATTAAATATCAGTGTACAAGGATAGGAAGTTTATTACATGTCTGTCTATTGTATAATAATTGCAGATACTTTATGTTACGTAAAATATAGCATCTCTGTATGTCTCTCATTGTATTAGAGTTGCTTTGAGGCTATTTCTACTTTTTGGTGATGCCACATGAATGTTGAACTCAATTGTTTTTTTCCTCCTCCTCAATTCCCTAAACCTGGTTTAGAGTAAGACAATTTCCTAGGTGAATTTTTGTCTTTGGAGTCAGTCATTTTCAGAGAAAGCGTTCTTATCTTGTTAAACCGTTTAAGAGCGATAAAGATGCTGTAGGAAATTATTAAGTTTGGATTTTATTTCTAGAGAATTAAGTAACTTTTTTACTGGCTTAAATGACCTAGATGTATCAACACTTAGAATTCTATAAATACTTATGTATCAGTTCAATTCTGTAACCAAAAAGTTTACTTGCTCATTATTACTAGTGTTTATTAAATTGAGCTGATTGACTTCATTTGTCTTATTTTCTTTACTTTATTTCTTTGGATGTTACTATGGCACGAATTGCTGTCACACTTTATATGTAGAATTGCTTACTCAAATTCCTTCTCCCTTTCATGTATGTAGTTTGATAATATGACTAAAATTAAAGATGTAAAAAGGTAAGCTTTCAAGAGAAGATATTTACTTGCCCAAGTAATGAAAAACCACTTGGAATTTGTGTTTATTTTTCTTTTTGGAAAAACATGGTTTTTTGTAGTCTTTGTTTTGATGTATTTTTAAGAATAAAAACATATTCAGTTAAAAAAGTTTTAAATTTTTAGGTGTCCTTTTTAATTAACAATGAAAAGCAGTTGGAATTTGAGTACCTTTGTTTCTTCTTATTCCTAATTTTATCACTTTTATTTTCTTTCTCTTATATTTCTATCTGAATTTTTCCTTTTGTAGGAAAGTGCTTCCTTGGCAGATAGATTGATACAGGTATAGTTTTTTTTGTCTGTTTTGTTTTTTTTTTAAAGCATTTTCTCTAACTCTACTTCTAAGAAGAGTCCTAAACTCAGAAATTTATATTCTAATGCATGCAATTTTACATGCATTTTCCTAGAAATAATTTTTGGGTGGTATATGGGTATAAATTTAATTTTTAATAACTTATCTAGTACACTCAAATAGGCACCTTTTGCACGTTATAAAGCTAACCTTATTTTTTAAAGTATTCTTTGTTACAAATGGCAATCAGTGGATTCTGTGAAATTAACTGCTATTTGTTGAAAATTTTAGTTCTGCATGTACAACTCAGTAATATTGCATGAATTTTTATTGACTGAAAGAATTGTTCTTAAGATTGTCAATTAATTTTTCATTTAGTTTCCAAAAATTTTCTGGAGCAATAATAAGCTGCTAGTTAATAATTAACTAGGCTGTTCTATTCTGAGGTGATTCTTTTTTTAACATGTGAAAGTAAATAACTAAACCTCACAAAGGCAGTCTTTCTTGAATCTGTCCTAAATTGCTTTACACACAAAAAAATTATGTCCTAAGGGACAAGTGACAAGAGCCCAGGAGGCTGAGGAAAACTACCTCATAAAACGGGAGTTGGCCACCATCAAACAGCAGAGTGATGAGGCCAGTGCTAAGCTGGAGCAAGCTGAAAATACCATCAGGAAGCTCCAGCACCAACAACAATGGGTAAGGAGTCTGGTAGTGCCTTGTATCGCCTTTCTCATCCCTTTCCCTTTAAACCAAAACAAAATTTTTTGAAGCACAACTTCTGTGCTCTTGTTTTAAATAATTTTTTTTAACTTTAATTGAAGTCTTAAATTATTCCATTTTATGTTCTGTAATATTTGGGGTCTTACTGTGGCCTAAAGACTCCTTGTTCTAGCCCCTCCCCCCAGTTTTGTTAGAAATAGTTAATAATGTCTTTCCTTACATTTCAAATCATAAAAAATAACCAGTGTATTTCAGATCTGCTTTTTAGGTTTTATAAATCTGTTTGACCATAGGTAATCCTGACTGCAGCTAGATTTTATTCATTGAGCAAATGTAGTATTAGTCACATAGAGAATAAATGTAATCATCTTATTTTGAGTTTTGAGAATGTGTTAGTTTAGATTTTATGATATTCTGTAGCTTGGACTTCCTACATCAAGACATTGAATTATGAGTTAAGGTATATGCCTGAATGTTTTCAAACGGAGAAAAGTAGTGAAGATGAAAAAAAGTAACCCTTTAAAATTCATGTTAACTAACTAGGATTCTTGATAACAATTTTTCATTCCAAGATTCAGATTAGGATTATCTTAATCAAAAATATGAAGATTCAAAAGAAAAGCCAACTCTCTATCTTTGAAAAGATATTCTTATTTTAGTTTTCTTTTGGCAATTAGAAACTAGAACTCTACAAGTGTAGGGCAAATGGAATGACTACAAAGTTAGACATTACTTTTATTTAGTAAAATGAAGAAACAGCATCCTCATTTGGATACAAAAGTCAGAAAAAATCATTGAAAAGAGCCATAAACACATGTTTCTTCTATTATGTTATTGAAGATGGCTAATAAAAATGAGAGTGACAAAATAGTAACTCAGAAAACTAGAACTCAGCTTTTTATTCTGCCTTCATATAAAATGTCAGTAATATCAAAGCATGAAGCTAGAATTGTTGAATCATGTTGGGATTTAAACTGACATGAATTATCAGTACAATATCATTTGTTTAGAAGGAAAGATAAGTATTTTTTTTTCCTTTGGTGCTGGGGATTGAACCCAGGGCCTTGTGCGTGCAAGGCAAGCACTCTACCAACTGAGCTATATCCCCAGCCCTGAAAGATAAGTATTATGCTTGTATTTAGCATAAACTACTGTCTCAATATGTTAGAATCATGAATTAAGTTTTTTGCTTTGTTTCCAGTTATTGAAACCTTATAGGTAGATGTGTATAAAAAGAATATAAGATTGTTTTATAATGAAAAAGTTAACTGAGCAAGCAAAAATTACAAGAGTGTACTGAGACTTTTACAAAGTGTAATGAAAGGAATCTCTTCGAGTTCCTTTTGAAGGACAAAATAGACCTGCTTGGTGGGGCCAAAATAAAGATGAACTAGATTTCTATTTTGATTGTTTTCATTTTTTCCCTCACCAAGAGGATAATTAAATGGAAATAAACTATAAAATGGAAGTATAAAGCAGTAATGTGCAGAGTAAATGAAAAATAGTGATAGCCTTGTTAAATTTCCAATTTTTAAGTTGCATATTTTAGATATTAAAATGACTTGTGGAATAATTATCTTTTTAAAAAATGTCTTTTTTAGTTGTAGATGGACACAGTACCTTTATTTTGTTTATTTAGTTTGTTTATGTGGTGCTGGGGATTGAACACAGTGCCTCATGCATGCTAGGCAAGTGCTCTACCACTAAGCCCACAACCCCAGCCCCTGTTGTTATTATGTTTAAATGAGTTTTAGAAAATAAAAGGTACTATAGGCATCAAGGTGGACAAATACATTTCTTACAGAAAATAATCAAGGTTAAATATCTGAAAAAAGTGTCCAGGGTCTTTGATGATGCTTCATGAAAAAATTTCTAGAGCATCTGTCGTCAAAAGCCATTGTATGTGCATGTCATAACAGAGTAATATACTTGTAATAAATAAAAACTGGATCACAAATACAGTTTTACAAGTTATTTGATGGACTTTCTCATGACTATGTTTTTTGTCAAGGTAGAGAAATTAAAATAAAAGTAGCTGGTGTTAATAGGGGATTATATTAAGAGACTATTGGGGCTGGGGCTGGGGCTCAGTGGTAGAGCAATTACCTCACATGTGTGAGGGACTGGGTCCAATTCTCAGCACCACATATAAACAAATGAAATAGACTATTGATGTTTAAAGGTCTTTGTGTCTTAAACTTACACAGGATGCATTTTGTATTTAAATCTTCACATGCAGTTTTTATACATGAACTATTTAAAAATGGAACTAATATGTTAGATGATAAATCAAGATTCAAAATCTGTTTAATATCTACTTAGAATGAGAAGATAAAAGATTGTTTCCCCCCAAATATATAGCCTTGTCCATTAGGTTTAAAATTCAAAGGTGTATTTTACCAATGCCTTATGGAACAAAGATGTTGATATTTTAATTGACAAGAAATCAGAAATGAACCAGTAATAATGTAATGTAGCTATGACTTTAGACTCAAATCCTAAGTGCAGTCTTCTTAGAAGCAAAACAATCCTAAGTATTCTAAGTAGCTTGAAGAAGATTTGTAGTGTTGTATCTAGTTTGAATACCAAAACTTATGTGATCATTTACACACTATTCTTGTGGCTAGTGTATGAAAGACAGGGGGAGCCCTGGATTTTTTTTAGGCTTCAGTAAAGAAGTTTTTAGAAGAACATTATACATAAGTCATTTTTCAATATTTTAAAAGAAATCTATGCAAAATTATATATGGCTTCAGAAGGCATGATGAATATAAGATCCCAAGACACAATATCTTATCCATTGGAATTTTGACAGATGAAAKAGTTGCTTTACAAAGTAGTGACTGTACCATGAGTACCTATTGATAAATGTACTGATTACAGTCTTCCAGTATAACTTTATGAATTCTTGAACTCCCACAATAAGGATTTCAAATCTGTATGGTAGTAGACAGTTATATTTCAAATCTGCATACAGATTTGAAATATAACTGTCTACTACCATCACCAATCTGCATTTACTATTTTCTGCATACAGATTTGAAATATAACTGTCTACTACCATCACTCACCACTGACAAATGGAAGCATTTTATATGATGTAAAGAATTTTAGATTTCATATACAGCACTAAATTTTAGTCATTTTTCTGTTTAATCTTGGACACTCAAGAATGCAGTTTTGTTTTGTATTAGAAATGTTTAGGTCTAGACTATCTCAGGTCTCTCATTTTTAAGATGACCTTTAGTAGAGCATAATTTACATATTATGAAATTCATCAAGTTTATAATTTGATGTGTTTGAAATGTGTATGTTTGTATAACCCCTACCACAATCAAAATAAAGAATATTTCCATAACTATCAAAATTTCCTTTGTGTGTCTTCAAAAGCCACTGTATGTACATGTCATAACAGAGTAACACCCATCCCAGTGACCTGTCTTCTCTCACCAAAGTTTTACCTTTTCTTAAAATCCACATATAAAATGTGAGACTTGTATGTCTTTTTCTTTTACTTTAGCATATCCATTTACTATTTTCTTTTCTTTTTGATGATTTTTTAAATTGTGACAAACATATACAACATAAAATTATCATTTAAGTTTATAATTCAGTGGCATTAGCACATTTACAGTGTTGGTAACCGCTATTTCTAGACCTTGAAATCACTCCACATAAGCTCTATACCCATTAAATAATAATTCCTCTTTTTCCTAGTATCTGATAATCTCTATTCTGCTTTCTATCTCTGTGAATATACTCAATCTGTGTAACTTAAATGAGTGGAATTATGCAATATTTGCCCTTTTGTGTCTAGCTTATTTTGATTAACATTAATATTTTCTATATGTTGTAGCATATATAAAAATTTATTATTTTTATGTCTGAGTAATGTTCCATTGTATGTATATAGCAATTTTGTTCATTCATTTGTTCATCATTTATATTGTTTCTACTTTTTGGCTATTGACAAAATGCTGTTATGAATATTGGTGTATAACTATCTGAGTGCCTGCTTTTAATTCTTTTGTGTATATACCTAGATATGGGTTTACTAGATCATATATATAATACCATGTTTAAGTTTTTGAGGAAGCACCAAACTGTTTTCTATGGTGGCTGTACCATTTTACATTGTCATTAGCAATATCAAAAAGGTTCCAATCTCCACATCCTTCTCAACTCTTGGTATTTTGTTTTTGTTCTTAATAATAGCCTTCTTAGTAGATATGAGGTAGTATTTCATTATTATTCAGATCTTACTTAAAATTGAAAGTTCTTTCAATGCAAAGACCATACCAAATGTACATTTAAATGAGTTACTTTTTGACCCAGATTTTATGATAGCCCCCCCGTTTTTCTCCAAATACAAGCAGAAGCCAATTGGATGGTCATGAGAACGAAAACAATCTTGACTGCCATTTTATTTGTTAATTTGTTGTTAAGATATCAAGTTCAGTTTGTGTAAACATTTTGTATTTTGCTCAGTCTTATAAGATGTGGACATCTTATAATGGAGTGAATATTAATCTATCCATTTGAAAACCAATGGGCAAAATATTATCTTTAAGTGCAGAGGGGATAATAATAACCAAGGAAAATGAAGCCTGCTATTGCATAGAGTGTTCTGGTGTGAAAGACACATTTAAACAAATTAATATGATTTCAATGGTGATAAAGTCTTCGACAAAAAAGAAATCAGGAGCAAGGTAGGACAGTTATGGTGTGCTTCCCTGAGGAAGAAACATTTGGCCAAAGACTGAATGATATAAAGAAGAAAAGCATTTGACAATATGAATTTCTCAGCTTCCATACAGAAAACATGGCTGTGTGTATAGGTGTTGATCAAGGAATAAGTTTAGGGTATTTGGGGAACAGCAAAATGTATTCTTATAAACCCTAGGGAAACCAACTAAAATTTCTTGTGAAGAAAAGATATGTAGATAAGTAGAAAGTAGTAGAGACAAAATAGAGTA